TAACTGTCCAACTATTGAATTATAAAGGAGCGATCCATGAATGATGGCGAAGACTGGAAACCTGAGGGTGACATAATATTAGATACTAGAGGCCTAGGACAAAAGAAGTTTGAGATGGAAACCAGCATTCCGGATGCTTTTTCTTGGATGAAGAACTTGCAGAATATCTATCTATCCAGCCTCTCAGCCACAACTATCAAGGTCCACCTAGATTAGAGCCAGGCCAACCACTCAGGTAGGCAAGCACAGAGAAAGAATTAAAGACCCCCCCCCCCAAACACGTAGCCTCACACAAATATCTACGCAGGGCATGTTTTTTCTTAGAGGTAAAGAGTTTTTTTGTTATCGTTCAACACCTGATTGAAAATCTTTGCCCATCTACTAGTAGATCCCGATTCAAATGTAGCCTCCTGGCCAAAGGACTGGAACACTAGCCAATTTACAATGGAGTTTGTTAATCCAATCCTATGTGTAGACAAATGCCAGAAACAGTGGCAGAATTGTGAGCTCTTAAGTTAGGCCCTAGAAATCTTCATTGAAGCATTGAGCACACTATCTTTGGTGAGAGCAAGGGCCACTTACCATGGATCTGTTCAAGTGTTCCAAGTGGCATCTCGGAGTCAAAACAGATAGTATTTTAGCCATAACACTGGTTATTTTCCAAGGCCACTATAAACATCCTTTATTGGTTCTCTGTACAAAAGGTTCTTATTTCTATAACAGAAATCCTTCACAGTGATGATGAGCCATAGCAAGTATTTAAAATATTTTAATTCTACTGTTCCTACTATACCTAAGATACTTAAGTCCTCCCAATTATAGAAAGCAGTGGCTCACTTACCACAGTTGTTGCAAATAGTTACAACTGCCCACCCCGTCCTCCATTCTTTTTTGTGAAAATCAGCAAATAAACCCAGATATCAAAAGCACTCTAGACCAGTATTTGACAACCTCAGCAATTTTTAGATAGGTGGATCTCAACTCCCTGAATTTCTGAGCCAGCGTCGAACACTGGTCTAGACAATTGAACTGGAAGAGTTTTTAAATCAACATACCAATTTGGGATGCTGTAGCTAACAGGATGGAAGACCAGAATTTTGATTTTATTTTTTTTTGCCACAAGGAACACAGTATGTGGAATTAATTGCATTGTTAAGCACAACAATAAAGAAATAAACACCAATCAAATATTTAACTGTCTCACATAATCTGAGGGGATGGAAAGTAATAGACTCAACTCCTTGCCTTTCTCGGTAAACAAGCTTAAATTGAATTGGCAAACTGCAACCTATTATAGTTAAATCTTGTGTTATTTTCCACCTTAGGCATTTGCTGCATTTATTTATTCTTCAGCATATGTGAATTGCTACATTTTTGCACAAGTGTTCAACCCAATGCATGAAATCCAGGTACTTCCAGTGAAATGTTTTTAAATATGTACTCCTGGTGCAAGGGTGACTTCTGGTTCAGTGTCTGTCTTTCATCATTACTAGATGGATTTTGCTATTTTTTTAAAATAATGTTGTAAATAGCTTCTGGTCATTCACTCAAATTGCTATCTGGAAAGTTGAGAGGTTCCAGAATAGCCAAGCTGGTCCAACTTATCATTGTTAGTTTTTCATAAAGAAAAAATGGCATCTTAGGCTATCTACCTTTTAGTACAAAATGTCCGCCATTGATTGCCGAAATCTTTTTGTGCAAATGTCACATAAAATCCTTCCAAACCTGCAAAAGCTATTTATTTGCAAAGCACAACTTCCTTAAAACTAGGCATCCTTGTTTGATCTTTCCACTAGCATTTGCACAATTACTGGTAGAATATGGCCAGTCTCTCCAAAGATATCTATACAGTATTTCAATATGAAGTTTTAAGAAAAGGGCAGAAAATAAAGGAAAGCATGTTCTACACCAGATATAAACCTGTTCCTTTTTGTTAGCAAAAAAGGGAATGGACTAAAGCCTGCAGCCTTACTTACCTCAAATGTTTGGCGTGGATTCACTTAGCTCACAATAGTGCTTAAAAATTTATCAGCTATTCCAAAGTTTCTTTACAAAAAAAAAGCAGGGGAAATAATCATATATAGCACTGGAGGCCTGTTTAGATATAACACTAATTAACTGATGAAAGAGATTGTGGTTCTGAATTTGAAGGACCGCAAAACAGGTTAGTAATAAAAATCAGCGGCAAACATTTTTAAATGTTTGCCGCTTATTTTTAAATGCCTAGCATTGTTATATCTTGGTCTTCTCTACCGGTTCTCAGAGGGTGAGAACTATATATACTGTGCTAGGGGGATAAATTCTGCAGAAGAAAGCAATAATCTTTTTTTCTCTATAGGTTTCTCTTCTCATATTATAAAATGCAGCTTTATTCGTAGACAAGGATAGGACGTACAATCCAGAAGGCATGAGAGAGAAAATGGCCAAGACTGAGCCATGTTTTAGGGAAATGGAACATTATTTGTTTCTTAATGACACTCATTATTTTCTCAGAACCATTGGTAAATTACAGTATATACTGGCTCAATTTTATAAATTGGGGAAAACTGCAGCAGAGACAGACCAGGAGAGATTTATCCAAATACATGAGGAATCCTGCAGTAGAAGAGAAATCTGTTCACTCAGGCTACAGATCAATCCTTCTCTCTGGAACACTCCTTCCTTCCTTCATGAAATTCTCTGATAAAGTTGATTTTTTTTTAAATTATGAAAAAAGTGTCCTATTAATGGTATTTTGCTAGTTAAATCATCAGAAGGAAAAAAGTAACATACCAAAGTTAATTCCCAAGTTCCAAATATCTTTAAAAAAAAAATAACTGCAATGTGAACAAGTTAGCAGCCCCTCAAACGCCATTCTTACCCTCTCCTTCCCTTGCTGGAGTTAGCTAAACTGGGATTGTGATTAAAGCTTCAGTTTTGCCCAAATCTGCCAAGCAAGGCTGTATCTCACCTCTCCCATCAACTGTATGGCCAGTGAAGGGAAGTTTCAGACAGAACCGCCTGTGTTTCTGATTTATGACTGAACATGCAGTGCCCAAATCCAGACACTTACACTGCACTTCAAGGGATTCTTCCCCTGACCAGCCGCATCTTAGTCACAGCATTCTCACCACTTTTGAAGCAGCAATCTTTCCCCAGAGACATTGCAAAGAAGAGATTATTCCTGAGACATCGACAGTTACAAAGCAATTTTGCTTCTGTATTATTCACATTTTTACAGTAGGCAAAACAAAACAAAATCCTGTCTTTCTTATACGCCTCCAAAGCTATCACAAAGGCAGAGGGGAAGCAACAACAGTCCCCGCCCGTGCTCTACATTTTAGATCACAGCCCTCCCCACTTTCTAAATCCAGTCAATTTTGATAAGTTGCCAATTTATTAAGAGAATTAAGTCGCTTCCCAGATTTGAAAATATAGGTGAGTCCAAGAACTGAACTAAATTCTATTAAGTCATTTTATAGGCCAAAATCCAGTAGGACGAACATATTCTTCTCAGATATTCTTCTAGAAGTGAAGCCTACATTAAAAACAAGTATAATTGCCACATTCCCTGAGGCTATGTCACTTCCCACTCCCAATTATGCCTGAACAATAAAATCCATGTGCAAAATTGCCACATCGATGTGGTCTCCCCACTAGGGAAGCTAGCACAATTCAGTCATTCTGTTTTTGAGGTAGCACATGAATCACTCTTGGAAGACTTCCTAAAGGAACCAGAGGCAAATATTTTAGAGAAGCAAGAATTTTAGAACAGTAGAAATCTCCAACCCCCATCAGCTTCAGATAACAAGACCAATAGGCAGAGATAATGGGAGTTGCGGTCTAATGACATCTGGGTGGGTCATGGTAGCTTATCCTTGCCTTAGAGCAGGGGTGTCCAACCTTGGCAACTTTAAGACTTGTGGACTTCAACTCCCAGAATTCCTCAGCCAGCTTTGCTGGCTGAGG